CCACCTCATGACTCAAAGTACGCGGGTTCAAACCCGGCGGAGATCGTGGAATTTTTAAGGGCGAAAAAATTCAGGGAACAAGTCCTTCGGGAGGGATCCGTGGGTCCCGTGTGGTACATTGTAGATGGGGGAAGTATCGTGTACCGAGGAGCGACCTCGTTGGCTGAACGGGGCTGAAAGCACGCACCAGTACCGGTAGGGTATGGCGACTGGTAGAATGTCAAAGGGGGACGTACAAAAGACTATTAGTCGGTAAACCCACCCCATCCAGTAATAATAATAGTAATAATAATAATAATATAGTTCCTCCACTTCCTTTCCAATTAATTATTCATTAAGAGTCCTATCACGTGACGGGGTTCACTCAGCCTCGTGATGATAATTGAGAAGCTATTTCAAGGAATAGCGGCTCCGGTCTAGAAAACCGAGATTAACGGCCGTGGCTATTCGTTGCGCTGACCACGCGACACCCTCTGTCCGCAAAAAGTTGGCACTAACTTCGCCGACAAGTGGCGGTCGCTCGGTCGGCATAGTTCTCTTGTGGACTAAAATCACGGAGTTGTTTTTTTATCACGTGACAATGTACGTACTGCCGTGCTAACAGTTGCCATAATAAATCAAAAATAAGTAGATAAATTTATGAAAATCTTCAATGATCTATTGCAGAGATGTGGAAGGGATTCATTTTCATATAAGGAATTAAGGTGGAAAAAGTTCACTTTCCTCTTTGTATTTATCTTTCGTGATACCCATTAGATATATACGAGTATTAAGGAAAATAAAAATAATCTGTTTCCGTGGGTTGAACGTATTAACTTGAGTGTTGAGCACTTGGCTCTTATTCGGGAAGCATTCGTTTCTAATGCCGACAGGAATTCCGGCTTTTCTGTCTTAGGTTTTTATTAGTTTTCCTCTGTTCCTGAATAAAATACCGGACTAGTACCTAGATCTGGAACTACTGCTTCGTTCCAAATTCTTTCCACTTTGTCATTCACCTATTATTCTCCCACTCGACGGTAAAGTATTTCTATCCTGATATGGCTATGAGATACACCACGAACGAACAACGTAACTAAACGACAGATAAAATTTGTCGAAAAATTTTTGTTGCAATATCTTTTCCTCATTTTGTTTTCCTTTGCTTTATACAGGGTTATTCAAAAAGAATGGACCGATTTCATGACACATTGCATCAGTTCTCAAGCATCGTCATGGAATGAGTCAGTGACCATTTGAAAGAGTAGTTACGTAAGTTGTGAATGGCTGCCACAGGGGCGCTGAAGTCGCTTCGTTCTTCCGGCAACATTCAGTTGTTCGTTTACCTTCGGAATGGTGAGTCCTCAGCAAAAGGCGTTCTACGTTCTCTTGTTCACGAAAACAAATTCGGTTGTCCCGGTGCAGCGTGCTTTTCGAAGGCGATTCGGCATTAATCCGCCCTGTCCTAAGAACATTCGACGGTGGTTTCGACAGTTTCAAGAGAGTGGGTGTCTGTGTAAAGGAAAACGTCCAGGACGACCACGAGTCTCGGAGGAACAAGTGGCGAGAATCCGTGCTGCGTTTGAAAGGAGCCCGCGGAAGTCAACAAATCGAGCTAGCCGTGAGCTTGCGGTCCCTCAATTTACTGTCTGGCGTGTGCTAACAGTACGTCTACATTTGAAACCATACAGACTGCAGCTCGTTCAGGCACTTACCAATGACGACAAAAGGAAGCGGATGGAATTTTGAGATTCGATGGTGGAGATGATGGAAGACGAAAACCTTCATTTCACGTTNTTAAATGAAAAAGTGCCCCAGCGATGGATTAGTCGGAAGGGGGCCCAAGACCTTGCTCTTTGTGCTTGGCCTGCGAGATCCCCAGAACTCACCGTGTGTGATTTCTTCTTGTGGGGATATGTAAAAGATCACGTTTATGTTCCACCGCTACCCACTAACCTCGATGACCTTAAACATCGAATAACAACAGCGATTAACTCAGTGCATCGCGATATGCTGATACGCGCCTGGGAGGAATTCTCTTATCGCATTGATGTTGCCCGTGCTGCAGGTGGTGGCCACATTGAACACTTGTAAGACAGGAAATAAAAGTTGATTGTGAGTAGAATACTTGTGACTTGGCTGGAGTTTTGTATTACTTTCCTTTAATAAAATATTGCATAATAAAATAGGTTCATTCTTTTTGAATAACCCTGTATATGTATAAATATGTACAATATAAAGTGATTTTAATTATTCTCTTCTGATATCTACACTTGGTCAGCTCTAACTATTTTTGTCCTTCTCTCACATCAATCATTCAAAAAATGCCCGTTACAAACATAGCTCAAACTTATTTCTAACATTTTTTTTCCTTGGCACTACAGCCCCAGTGGGCCTAAGCCTACCTCCATGAACTTCTCCGTTCACTTCGGTTTTTCTATATCTTACACATTCGGTAGGACTCCTTGGGCGGGTGATCGGCTCGTCGCAAGACCTCTACCTGTACACAAACACAGAAAAGCGCACACACACAAACTAGATATCCATGCCCTAAGTGGGATTCGAACCCACGATCACGGTTTCCAAGCGAGCGAAGACAGTACATGCCTTACACCCCTCGGCTACCGTGACCGGCATTTCTAACTATTACCGAGAGAAATTGGTCTAGAAATAAACACAGAGAAAACTGAACATATGTTGCTGTATCGTCATCAAAATTCAGGGCAAAATCATGACGTAAAGATAGGTAACAGATGTTTTGAAAGTGTGGCACAGTTCAAATATTTGGGAACGACTATAACAAATCAAAACTTGATTCAGGAGGAAATTAAGAGGAGATTGAACTCGGGTAATGCTTGCTACCTTTCAGTCCAGAACCTTTTGTCTTCTCGTCTGCTGAACAAAAACATAAAAATCAGAATATACAAAACTATAGTTTTGCCTATAGTTTTGTATGGGTGTGAAACTTGGTCTCTGACATTAAGGGAGAAACACAGATTGAGGGTGTTTGAGAAGAGGGTGCTGAGGAGAATATTGGACCGAAGAGAGATGAAGTGACAGGAGATAGGAGAAAACTGCATAATGAGGAGGTTCATAACGTGTACTTTTCACTAAGTATAATTTGAATGATCAAGTCAAGGAGGATGAGAAGGGCAGGGCATGTAGCACAAATGGGGGAGAGGAGGAATGCGTATAGGATATTGGTGGGAAAGCCAGAAGGAAAGAGACCACAGGGAAGACCAAGGCGTAGGTGGGCGGACAATATTAAAATGGATCTCAGAGAGATAGAATGGGAAGGTACGGATTGGATTGATCTTGCTCAGGACAGGGTCTAGTAGGGGGTTCTTTTGAAAACGGTAATAATCCTTCGGGTTCCATAAACTGCTGTGAAGTTCTTGAGTAGCTGCAGATTTGGCGCTCCTCAAGGAGAACCCAGCTCCATGAGTAAGTAAGTAAGCATTACCGAAAGAGATTATTCCAATTGTTTCTAAGACTCATAGTACTTCCTTGCAGCTATATTTGAAGAATAAACAACTGAGGAAGCTTGCACACGAATATGAGTTTAATATTAACTTTTTTCTTAAAGACCCTGGTTATGAGGCTATTGAATGGATTGAATTATTTAAGAATATGTTTTAGCTGCAAGTTTTCTGAACAGAGGGATATAGATCAGTGTCATTAAAAAGCTGGGGATTTCTTGGAGGTCCGTGACTATAGTTTCTCTAATTGAAAATTCTATAGCATGGGATTAGTTTTACCAGTTTTAATAAAATGGCGGGTAGAGTTTCACTATTTTCAATTTTGCTTCGAGGAAATATCTAGGTTCATGAACATCTTACTAAGCCTATTAATTGTTTAAGAAAGTTACAAAGTGCATAAATCACTCATTGTTTACCCATAGGTTATTGTAATTTTTTCTACTGAGGCTAGAACGGGGATCGAGATTTTGATATTTCGCCTTGAAAATGTGCATACGATATGTCTTTAAGAAAGAGGACCTCATATTAACAAAACCTAAAACAGGTTTGATAATTTTGTGTGTATTATCTTCTAACATGACATTCAACAGATTCTAGGGAGTTTATTTTGAAATCTGTTGATATTACATCACTTGGGAACGCTGTTGTCTTTGAGTTTCCATTTAGTAGAATCAATAAGCTCTTACTTGAAGTAAGTTGTCTTCTGGGTTTAGGCACCGTGTATTCTTCGTTTTGGCCAAAACGAAGAATACACGGTGCCTAAACCCAGAAGACAACTTTCTTCATTGTCATCGCCGTGAAAACCTCAAAACTTACAAGCTCTTACTTGTTTCATATACATATTTTGAAGTTGTCTGTGATGGTTGTCACTTTCTGTGACGTTCAGTCTTCTACCACACTAGACGACGTCACATCCCAAACATTTGTTCACTTCAGCATTCGTTTCGTTTATAGAATCTTAACGTCGAAACCTTTAATCTATTAATATTATTATTCTTATATTTTTAATTTCTGGGTATATTAACAAGCTCTATATAATACATTTTCCATATGTTTAGAGTCCAACATATTTAAGAATATCTGTTTGCCTGCATATTTTCCTGGATACATTTTTCACTGTTACTGTTTATTTCCCTGACATGTCAAAATTTTACCAAGATAGCGGGTTGTGAAATAGACGCTGGTACTTCATAAGATAGACGAATTGTTAAGGTTTATTATTTGTCCCATATTGCATTTAACCCGTAAAGTTTATTAATGCTCATGAATTGAATCGATTATTTCGAATGAGGAACATGTCCAGTGGCTGACTGTCGCACCTGCTGCTTCTAATTCTGTCGTTATCCACACATTTTCGCCTTTTCTGGTGTTTTCGACTACTGCCACTACGTGGCACTGCGAACCGTCTGCGTTTAGTGCTTCCATCTTGCGACAGTAATTGTACTAACATTATATCCAGGAATCCACATGGAACTCCGGAAATGAATGAATCGATTCAAGTCGATAATTTACTTCCTATACAAATTATCGAGCATAGTATGGAATAGTTGAACATCTGCGGGAACTCAAACTGAGTTTTATCATCATATTTGTCCTCGTAGTGCAGCACAAAGTAACGTATTGCTTTCAAAATAGTTATGATGTCCTGTGTTGATGATGTGCTAATAATCAGGGTGCAGGACGCTGTGAAAGAAATAGGAGCAGAGTTACATCTAGCAAACAACTTCATACCCGAGACAGCAAAAGGTAGAAAGAATGATGATGAGAGGAGGTAAGTAAGAATTTAATGAAATTTGACTACGCAATTAATTGTAAATTGTTATATGATGCACTGAAAACAAATCATACAATTCAGGCCTCCTTATTAAAATCGCAAAGCTATTGTTGCTTGTGTAGCATGGTTTACCGACCTGCAAGCCCATACTATCGCAGAATGGACTATTGCAATGGAATAACAGAATAGTGGCCCTTGAGTAGAATGCAGGAAATATGAATTGTAATACACAGCAGGCCTATATATGTTATGTTTCAAGACCCAAACATGAATTCTTATTAATCCTAGGAAGTAACATGTTTAACAACTACGTCACTCCCTTTTGGTCATGTGTATTAAAACAATGTGTGATCATTTCTCACGTACCAAAATAAATTAATTATTCTGAAATATTTTATGTTTAATTTAATGTTTAATTATAATTACAATTTAATTTAATATGCTAATAATATTTCATTTTTCTACTATTTCCGAATATTTTAGCACACTAAATTCCTTTATTATTTTCAAGATTACATGTATAGTTCAATTGATCTCCTTTATTATCCGTGACCCGAAATTATATTTCCAATGTATCCCTAAGATAACCATTTTTTCATTGCTAGTGGGGTGGGACTAAGTCCCTTGTACTGCGGCCACTTCTGGCCTATTGTACCAGCCCCAGATGATAGGTGAGGGTGATTGTGGAGCAATTGGTGGAATGAAGATTGGCAGGGGAAACCGAAGTACTCGGAGAAAACCTGCCCCAGCGCCACTTTGTCCGCCACAAATCCCACTTGACCAGACCCGGGATCGAACCCGGGCCGCCGCGGTGGGAAGCCAGCGACTAATCGCTTGAGCTATGGCGCGGACTTACATAACCCGTTAATTCTCAACGTGTTTATATCTCACATACGGATACTATTCATATCTGCACCAAAATTATATCAGGCCCTAACCTAACTTTAATTTATATTCTAAATAAGAATTATGCATACTTGTTTTTTTCTATGCCATTGTTTTAGCTTGAGGAATGTTTCTTCACCTGCAGGTCACTGAAATTTTCGAAACACAATACATATTTTGCCTTTCTCAGATTATTTTAGCCTGTTGTCAATTAAATTAAGTTACAAACTTGGTTTACCGCTTGATCGATAGATTCATGTTTCATTTAACCAATAATGTAGCAAATATTAGCCTTACTTAATATACCGAAAGGCCAAATCAGGAATTATATTGTGGCATGAGGGCTTAAAGTGGAGATATCGGAGGAGGTCTGCCTCACTGTAGCACAGGCATGTCAAAGTCAACTTGTACAAAGGGCCACCTCAGCCCTATAAATAATATTCCAGGGCCGCACTTCAAAATAGAAATATACATTAGATTTTGATAGAAGGAAATTTAATTCTATTTATTATTTAGGAATAATTTCAATATAATTACCTAAAGTCACATATCTTACAGTTTTAAAAAGCAAGAGAATGCCATTTTTGACAAGCATCAAACAGCTTTTCAATATGTAAAAAGAGAGATTACACAAGAAATTATGTTAGAAATAGCAAAACATTGAAATTCCTGCAGCCTGCTAATTTATGTCTTCATGAGACTTCTTGTCTTCTGGTCTTTTGGAAAATTGTCTTTACAAAAAATATTTCTACTAAAATTTTAATATTGATTTTAATATCAATTAGCTCTAAAAGTTGAGGGGCCGCACTTTGTGGTTATGGGGGCCGCATGTTTGACACGGCTGCTGTAGCACATTTCCACAAACCCTAGATGAATATACCCGCCTTTAACCCATGCATTCCTGGTAAGTAGATTTTATATTTTCGTGGACAGCTCTCTGAGAAGTTCATTGTTTTTATGGAACCATAAGACACTTCGATAATATTATTATTCTTATCCTCCCATTAATTGATATGTCTTCCAGGTGACTTCTTCCGACGACGTTCTACAAATTCGTTTTTTTATTCAGGCCTCTTTCTTTCTTTTTTTCTTTTTGCCGCATGCAAGCTGTGCAGTGCATCCCTGACATAACAACCCTCAGCACTGATTGAAATACGAGCTGTGAAGATGCTCGTTTTATATTCTCTTACGGATTATGAAAGCACGGTCCTGGATGTTTCAGGAGTCAGCTGATGGCTGCCATCGAACACGTAATGTTGGGCATAGTGCGCAGTGTGGCAGAAGGGAAACCTCCCGTTCTGGCTCTGCGGAACCAGAGAGACTGGAAGAACGTCAATTTCAGTCACTGGTGAGTGACAACGCATGGACCGCGGGTCGGGTGCAGTTTACAAGGAATTTCATTTAGCGCTTCCTTTGTAGGGACGTTTTCTACAAAGTCTTTCCTCCTTTTCAGGCGTTATTTAACAACTCCGGAACAGTAATAATGGATGGAAAATGCTGAAAATTTCCACTTTACTAGTACATGAAATTTCCTTCTTGAATGTAATTGTCAAATATTGCGGTGGAATGATTAGCATTTCGGGAAGTCCCCGTTTCATTTACAGAAAAGAAGCTTCAGTTTTTCACCTGTGTGTTAATAGTACTCTACCTCCTCCCGCGATTGCTACTAATAGGCCACAGTTTCATCCGATGTAGGAACTGGGACTCTTGCTCGAACAGGTGTGTGTAAGTGTGTGTGTGTGTGTGTGTGTGTGTGTGAAGACCTAGTTCAATTAAGGCTGCTCAGCCCTGATTTAAGTAGTGTAAAGTGAGCAAGTAACAAAATATGAGGTTGAACTTAAAGATCTGTTCTGATAGATCCAATTATACTCCCATGTCATATACAAACAAAACAAACTCCGTACTTTTAGTCCACAAGCGAGCTATACCGACTGAGCGACCGCCGCTTGTCGGCGAAATTAGTGCCAACTTTAGCGGATAGAGGATGTTGCTTGGTCAGAGCGACGCATTCTCCTACTCACACTTCAACCATTGCAACTGCAGGTTAGAGCTGAAGTCCGAAGGTCAAGCTTCTACAGTCGAGGTTAAGTTCAGTTCGAGTCGCAGCCGCACGAAGTTCTCACTCATCTGCCACGTACTGGGCGTCATCCACCGTCTGCTTTTCACACGGTCCACCTGCACCCGGAGGTTGGTCTCAATTTGTCACAAACCTGATACCATCCCTAAGTATTTACATGCGTGGGAATTTTGTTCACACTTTCAGAATAGGTTGTGCAAAAATTCTGACTGGCTGATATGACCTGGTTTATTATTTATTAAAGCTTATAAAAACATTGTTACTACTGCACTACCTAATGTTCCTGCCGTTTACTATATGAATCTCTGGATTGTGATTGGCTGTACGGGAATTTAAGGATCTGTTTATTCTTATTTATTTCTCCTGCAGCTGTTTACGTATTTACTGATTTAGTCCTATGAGTGTTTGAGGCCCCTTCACTTTATCTATTTATTTGCTTGTTTGCTACGCGTCTCTCTTTGCTATATCTCTTTATTAACACAATCGTTTCTTTACATACTTCTTTATGTATTCGTTTATCTTTTCAAATATTTACTTGCTCATTAATTTATTCAGTCCATTTATTCCATTTATTCGTCCGTTCAGTTTGTTCATTTACTCAGTTCATTACCTAGGAATGTGAAACAAGCGATAACGCTTCTGACTTGTATTCGTGAGGTGACCGGTTCGAATATCGGCCGGACATCGACTATACCCATCGAAAATGTTCGTGGTCTTACTCAGATCCTACAGGAAACTGCCATGAGAGTACCTTAAATTAGACCACGACCGTTTCCTTCCACTTCCTTTCTAATTAATTATTCACTGTTATCTCATTCGATGCTATGTAGTCTCGTTTACTGAGAACGTCTTTAAATAAATTATAAATAAATAAACAAATCATTAAATTTATACACTCAATTAAATAACTCTTTCAGTGAATTTATTCATTCACGCTTTAATTCAATTTATTTGGTTGTTTATTACTATTTACTTATCAGATCTCAGCTCATGAACAGTTTAGGCCATGATTATAAAACAAAAATTATAATTTATATATTCAGTTAATTCAATCAGTTGATCCAAATAATCTCTCCTTGAGTTCATTAAATCAATATAATTTATTTATTCGATCTAATTATCCTTAATTCATTCAATTTATTCATTTCCTCTGTTCATTAAATCAGTTTATTCACTCGTTCATTAATTTTATTCTCTTATGTAATTAGTTATGCATAGAAAAATTTAGTATGTGATAACGGAGTAAGAAGTTTTATATATAACTGCTATCTACTGTGGATTTGCTGTCGCTACTGACGACGGAGAATCATGAATTTACTTGGAGTAGTTGAAAATCACGCCGGTCACGGTAGCCGAGCGGTCTAAGGCATGTACTGTTTTCGCTCGCTTGGAAACCGGGATCGTTGGTTCGAATCCCACTCAGGGCATGGATGAGTAGTTTGTGTGTGTGTACATGTAGAGGCCTTGCGACGAGCTGATCACTCACCAAAGGAGTCCTACTGAGTGTGTAAGATATAGAAAACCCGAAGTGAACGGAAAAGTTCATGGAGGTAGGCCTAGGCCCACTGGGGCTGTAGTATCAAGGGAAAAAGAAAATCTTATTAGTCATAAATATTCGTCTGTTACACGAAATTATTCTCATAGTCCCGATCACAAAAATCCTTAGATCCTTTCTAACAAAGTTCGCTTTCCAATGGATGCATGATATATAAAATAGAAAGGTCATCGGTTCTCTCATTTATCCCGTGAAAGGATCTCCCTTACTTTAGGTCTTAACAGGGAGAAACCCGCATAAAATTATTTTGTGGTTATACTATTTTGAGGCTGATTTAATATAATAATATTAAGAAAATTGTTACTTTTTTTCTTTTGTGAAAATTTCATTTATTGTAATTTATTTAGTTCATAGCCGAAGAATTGTTCATATAATTGTTTACACTGGATAGAATATTTGTGAGACGCCGTATGAAAGTTGGCGGCGTGAGGATAACGTAGATCAGACGATATCTGGAACGACACAGAGAAGTTATCAGGAGGAATGAAAATTAAGAAGCCAGATTATGTATTTCTATTTTTAAAGAAAGAGGTCTTTACAGGATTTGAATCCTGGTAACCGCTGAGAGAGAGGAAAACAAGTATAATGAAACTGTACGTTCGCTTCTTTACGAAACGCGAAAAACATGGACAGCTGAAACTGCAAACAATATTATGCAATGCAAGATTTAAGGTTTTCACGGCGGTGACTATAAAGAATGCCGTCTTCTGGAATGTGACGTCGTGTGGATCTTGTGTGAACCGGCTGCTTTGGAGCAACGTATCGCCTCCATCTTCAGGGTAGGTGCTGGTTCCTCGCTCTCGGATTTTTCTACCCTGAAGGTGGATGCGACACGTTCCTTAGAAACAACCGGCTCATACAAGATCTTCACGACGCCAAATCCCAGAAGACGGTATTCTTGAATATTATGTAATTTCCACTGTTGGTGAGACATGGTGCACATGTTACAGACAGCTGTACTACCAGAATGTGACGCTGATAGGCAACCAAGGCCTTCTGGACGCTGCAGTCCGCGACATATGCTGCCTTCTGAAAGCCCCAGCCTGGGAGCTAGGAATCACCGCCACTTCCAAGGGTGTAGTCGCTGGGCCTCTGTCACTGGTCATGGAAACCGGGGATATCATTGACTGCACGGCACCAGGAGGTGAGTCATTTTGGAGTCAACATTTCATGTTGCTCAATGTAAGAAAGCCAAACTTATGTAAAATGTGTCCAGCCGTTACATTTCAGGTGCCCCCGTACTTGTATGTATATAGCGCTACATTGAGACCATTGTAAAAGCTTAGGCAATTCTTTGACCTTCTGAGGCCCAACGGTCGGAATATCATCCCAGCAAATGGGGCCGCAGATATTCTGTTGCCGAAGCCGACATACATCGGTCAAAAATAAGTTACAAATAAAACTTACCAAGATCACAGAAGAAGCCAGAAGTTGTCCATTCTGTTGCTGCTGGTGCTGTTTTTATTGTTGCCATCGTAGTAGTTTCCGAAGAATGTTCGCACCTACTACCAGATTCGTCCAGTTTCTCTTCAGTCTCATTCCATGAAATCGTTGAGCAGCTAGCGTGAGGCAAGCTCATGCCTAATATGCCAGATGATTCTTTCAGAGTCGAACGAAAGAATATTTATCGACGAGAAATCGTAAGAAATTAATGCTTCACTTAAAGTTCCTTCCCGGAAAATCTCAGACATCTTGCGCACAGGACTGGGGTTTCAAGTTCTAAATGTAGGCCTACTCTTGTTTTCCAAGAAGAACCCGGAAGCGTAAATATGCCGCAAACTTTGATATGTTGTGATACCAGGAATGCATTAGTAACAACAGAGATCACTATGAACAGCTCTAGTAATCTATGCTTATTTGTAATGTGATTAGGCCGTAGATGCAACCGTTCCAATTTCAATCCGAATTTCCCTGGTCAATTTGGGGCATCCGAAACTCCCGCCTGAGCGGTCCAGACATTTGTGTAAATTTGATGTTGTGGGTAGCTGTACTAATGTATGTTATGCATAGATATTAATCATCAAATCGTAAAGTTACTGACAGATTATCTTGATAACTGTGCCATATAAATTTGAAAGAAATGGAATCGAGTGCCCAAGCTATGCGAGAAGGGGAGACTCTGTTTGAAAATCCTGTTTGTAGTTTGTAGAACCTACTGCACTGTACTGAAACTCGCAGCCTGAGTGAAACTGAATGAGAGTAGGAAGTGCTCAGTCAGCTGATGGTGGTGGGCAGAGAAGCATACAGCTGACATAGGATTTCTTACAATAAGGTGTGTTCCTTGAAGTTGGTCGTAAAACAGGGTACTTGAATCCGACATTTTTGGCTGGGGTTCATTTTTCCGCATTCATATTTTGGCATGTATGCCACTGCTAGGAAAAGACCGCTAAATAACCAACTTTACGACTGGTGTTGCTAGGTAACGGCTCCGCAAACAAGCATGATTCATGGCAACAAAAAGTACAGCGATGATGGAAGTGCGGTTTTCTCTGGTCATGAGCTTCAAGAGGCTTGGCTCCAAGATGAAATAATTGGCGGTAAACCGCCAATCGCAGAGCGACTCTGACGCTGAATCACGTTCCCTAAAAGTACCCCGCTTGAGGCGGGTTCGAATAATTCTCCCGCAGCCCTGCGAGTCGTTGGAGGAGATGAAAAGGGAACCTAATGCCTGGGGTTATAAATGAGCTATCCTATTACTGGGAGATGTAAACTCGGAGACCTGGCCCTCCAGGTTAGGATAGTCTCGAATCTGATACAGTAAAGTATGGTCAAGTGTCCTGCGGGACTCGGACCCCAGAATGACTGCGCTGACGAGGCCGTCAGAAATTGTAAACGAAGGAGCCGTCCTCTCGCGAGAGAAGACACTTAACATCAAGAAACCCGCAGCTGTCTGACAATAATAAAAATCTCTTCTTTGGCCCCATTTGGGTGCTTGGTCCCAAGACAGACTGCCCAACTGACCGTCGGTCGTAACATAATTTTGACTTTTGTTTTGGCACGCTTGATGGCAGAGCCGATGTTGTCGACATTGTAGTACATTAGAACGTCCGACTGTCAGAGGTCGTTGTCACTGATATCGTAGACTCAGATAGCCTACCAAAACTGTTGAGCATTATGCATCGTGTTAGAACGAGGGAATGAGATCCAGCTGAAAGACTGAGAGACTGGAAGCTGCTTCAGAACCTCGCCTCTGAACTCATATCTCTGGATATCCAAATCCGCTCTTCCAATGAAGCTGATAAAAAAGCGCGTGACTTTGCAGCTTCTATAATTTCGGGGTACAGGCTATATACTAAGAAAATTACAATTTTAGACCGGAAATACGAAATTCCTGGCCCAGACCTTTTATTGGAACAAATAAGAAAGTTCAGAAAATTATTCCAAGAAACCAGGGATCCAGGTTGGAAAAAGACGGTAAACTGTAACACTTGAAATATCAGGAGAATAGTCCGGAAAAGAGCACCTGAAGATGGAAAACGAAGATGGCAAACTGCGAAGTCACATCTCAAACAATATGGCCTATTGAAAAATCCTTCTCAAAAAGAGAATGACCAAAGAGCACCGCTGCAATTCATGGTCCCTTACGTCCCATATTTTATCCAATCGATAAAGCCAATATAACCGCACTCTGCTTAGAAAACCAGTGACTGTGACCTTAGACGATGCGTGGAGGCTAAAGTCGAAGCACTGCTGGCTACCGGCGATGAAGACACCCTTGTTAATTTCCGACCCTGTGACGTCTAGAAAGGGATGTAGTATTTCAAATTACTAGAAGACTGTGGTTTCGATTTTATTCCAAACTAATGTCTACGCTCTATTTCAAGAAGACCTCTCCGGCATTTAACACATTTATTTAATCACTGCCTTCGGCCTGGTCACTTCCCGGCACCTTCGAAGGAAGCAAAAAGTCATAACTCTGCCGAAACCTTTCAAGGACTGTCAATTTTCCCCAAACTTACGTCTGATCGGCCTCCTGTCCACTACGGCCAAACTATTTGAGAAGCTGATTTTAAGAACAACCCAAGAAAACCACCAAAGAAATAAACTTACTAGATACAAGCCAGTTTGACTTTCGAGCAGATCACAGTATGAAACTTCAAAGAACTTTTAATAGTGGCAACACTGCTGTAGAGACGCCATGCAACGGAACCAAATAATGTCGCTTATACCACACGTTAGTTACATACCTTGTTACGAAATGCTTACTACAAGGGGGGGGGGCTCGGCAGTCCTACGGTAGGACCCTAATTGGCCGGGTAGGTCATTAATGCCCGTCTCAGTGATCACATAATACAGCAGTATTTATTTCTGGTGTACAATAAAGAAAATACTATNTCAAGATAGGGCCCACTGGGGCGCCTTCAACTTCCTGCCGGCCGTTCCTGCGGTTCCTTGTACCGCGACGTCCCGCTGCCAGAGGAGCCTCCGCTGTCTGTCCCTCCAGTTCCTCGTTACCAACAACCAACAACTTGTCTGGATATCACTACTCGTATCCCCTGCTGCCCCCCCCCTCCGCGGACGTAAGGGGGTGGGTCGCGTATACAGGACTGCCAAGCGTCTCCCAAGGGAGACCGAGGCTTTTCAAATGTAGTTCCGGCCAGAGAGTCGTACTTGTAACAACCTACCTCACCTCATAGCAAATGGACTCTCCCTTCCCACATCACGCGCATGCGCAATGACGAGAAGAACAGAGCTTCATGTTAGCTGGCGGTCTAATGTAGTGTTGTCACGATGTTTTCGAAACAAGAACAACGGAGTTGGATAAAGATTGAATGTGCCAGAGGCCGTACAGCACGACAGCGTCATCAAGGTCTTCAAGAGGCTTGCGGGGGAGCTGCATTACCTTACAGAATAGTGGCAAGGTGGGCAAAAGCCTTCAACGAGGGACGCCAAAATGTGGCAGACATGCGTCGGCCAGGTCGTCCTAGTGTCAGTGAAGAAGAAGTGTATGCTCTTTCTTTNATACTACGCTGATCGTAACCACTTGGAGCGCGAAGGAGAGGCTTTCTTACGCCGTATCATTACGCTGGATGAGACATGGGCCAAATCGTACGAGCCACAAATGAAACGCCAATCGAACGAATGGCGTCATTACGGGTCACCACGAAAATCAAAAGTATTACTGTTCATTTTTGGAACGCAACCTGCGATCAGCTTTGAGAAAGAAGCGGCGACACTTTCTGCAGAATCAACCCATCATATTGCAGGACAATGCTCAGCCGCATGCAGCGCAAACTGTGGCTCATTTGTTCGATCGATGGGGATGGGAAGTGCTGTACCATCCACCATACTCCCCGGACCTAAGCCCTTGTGACTTCTACTTGATTCCTAAGATGAAGGAACCACTTCCTGGCATTCGCTTCAGAACTGTTCCAGAGATTCTTCAGGCAGTAGACCGCTTCATTCGAACTATCAACACAACAGGCACTGCTGTAGGTATCCTACGACTTCCACATCGCTGGCAACGGGTTGTACACAATGCTGGTGACTACATTGAAGGACAGTAGAATTTCGAAACATGATCTATTTTGTACCAGTTGTAAATAAATAGTTGCCACTATTAAAGTCCCAACCCTCGTATGAGACTCAGGATCACGCTACCCTACTCTTCAACAACATGTCCACGGCTTTTTGTTCTTGGACACCGAGAAAGCCTTCAACTAAACATGACACTCTAGCCTACTATATAAATTGGCAGAATTACGAGTAGAATTTTCGACAAGTCTCATAAGCTAATTGCTTCTTTTCTCACTGACAGAAAATTTATAATCTTGGTAGTAGGCAAATTTTCTACACAAAAAGAAAATAGAGACAGGTCTTCATCGATTTTCCGCTATTGCCTAATATTGTGCAGTCTATACATAAATTTTAACCCCGCGGCATCTGGAACTCATCTTGCTCTGTTAGAAGACGATAAATATATCTACACAATAGAGAAACACGACCATCATGCACTTCCCTAACTTCAATGCGGCCTCATTAAAATAAATTCGTGGTATGCTCGATGGAACATAAAGATTAATGAAAGGAAAACTCAGGTGATCCATTTCTTCAGAAAACTTGGATTCCCTCACGATGTACTACAATTAAACAAATGAGAAGCAGTATCCTATTGCACGTCGTTTATTATTCAACAAATATTACTGGTTCACCTTCTTACATGCAACGCGTCCCTCTAAAACGTAGCTAAATTCTCTTACACACACAATGCCTCTTTTATATATAAGTTTTAGAACGACGGGTCGCATGTAAGAAGATGAACCAGGGACATTTGTTGAATAATACTTGAGGTACCTTGGTGTCACTTTCGAGAGGAGGATGACAAGGACGCATCGCATCGAAAGGACTATCGCCAAGACTTTGAGCAAGCACGTAAGGACCTATCTTTTATTCAAAACTCTAACTTCAGGAAAAATATTAAAATTGCGCTTTACAAAGCTCTGAAGAGGTCACTAATGTCATACATAGTGTGTCCAGGTTCTGTTAGGACTGTGTTCATTAAAAATACAAGATGTAAATTATTTTCAAAATTTCACCCTTTTTATTCAAAATAGTCTCCTTCTGAATCAATACATAGCTGGAATCGATTGGAAAGTTTTCGAAAACAGTCACTGTACTCCTTTTGTGGAATCGCATTTAAAACTGCGGTAGATTCCCTTTGGATGTCTTGGATGGTGTCGTAACGGTCTCCTTTCATCCCCAACTTAACTTTTGGGAACAACCAGAAAACTGCTGGAGCCAAATCTGGCGAATACAGAGGACGACCAAGGACTGTGATCCCTTTCCGCTGGACAAAAATTGCGCACGATCTTCGATTTATGGGGTGGGGCATTGTCGTGGAGGAGCGACCAGGAACCTTGTTCTCGATATTCAGGTCGAATTCGAAGAATTCTCGCCCACAAACGATTGAGGACTCTGAGATAATAATTAGAATTCATTGTTTGACTTTCTGGCAGAAATTCCTTGTGAATGATTCCTTTGGAATCGAAGAAAACAGTTAGCAATACTTTTACTAGACTCTTTTGCATGCGCACTTTCTTTGGTTTTGGCTCCTTAGGGTTCAGCCACGCTGCACTCTGCCGCTTTGTGAGAGGCTCATATTGAAAACACTATGTCTCGTCGCCAGTAACAATCGATTTTGTAAATTTTGTATCACTCTGGGCCAAACTTAACATGTCTTTGCAGTGTTCCACTCTGGCATGTTTTTCATCGCCTGACAGCACGTGCGATACAAACCGCGCACAGACCTTCCCTTTGCCCAAATCCTTGACCAAAATTTCATGCACAGTACTTTTGGTATTCCCAAAAGCTCCTCTATGAGTCTTGCAGAAACACATCTGTCTGATTTCGGTCACTTTTTTCACATTTTCTTCAGTGCGATTTGTTCCCGGCTTTGATGCAACTGGAGCGTCTTCAATGTCCTCCTTGCCTTCATGAAATACAGCATACCATCGAAAAATGTTCGAGCGACTCAAACAATCACTACCGTACACACTTTTCATAATTTCGTATGCTTCTCCGGCTGTTTTGCCTAACTTCAAACAAAATTTGATGTTGGCTCACTGTTCAACCGCCATTTTCCGACGAGCGTCAGGAGAGTACTGTTACATTCAAGGTCAGAACACATGATGCATCGATGCTTGCGCTGTGAAATTATAGACAGCCACAGCTGAAACTTCAATAATCTTAACACCACAACTCGCTAACAGATGGCATTTGCAGGGGAAAAAAAAGAGTCTTAACGGATCCTGGACACCGTGTATGTGTGCCCCACCCGGGGATATGCGGCGGGCACTCACCACTTGAAACGACAGCGCCTGCAGAACAGAGTACTCCGCGCTATTGGAAATCTTGACAGGTGCACACTAGTCTGCGTATTGCACGCGGTTTACGTGTATGTCTGTGTAACTAACTTATTCATGACGCAGGCAGAAGTAATCCTAAATCATAATCTTTTTTTATTGCTAGTGGGGTGCAACTAAGTCCTTTGTACTGCGGCCACTTCTGGCCTATTGTACCAGCCCCTGATGATAGGTGAGGGTGATTGTGGAGCAATTGGTGGAATGAAGATTGGCAGGGGAAACCGAAGTACTCGGAGAAAAACTGCCCCAGCGCCACTTTGTCCACCACAAATGCCACTTGACCAGACCCGAGGTGGGAAGCCAGCGACTAACCGCTTGGGCTATGGCGCGGCCTAAATCATGTAAATCCAAATATACATGGCACTAGACAAAAAGAAGCCAGGCATACAAGTGTAGGAGGCTTAAACTTGGTGCCGGTCGTCAGGCTTACTACCGTTTGGCCGACTAACTGTAGTTTCAGAGTAGTTAAAAAGTTAAGACATAGCCCGCTGCACTAGCCTGCATTGACAGGAACCCTTTCTATACCTCCTGTAAACGTTTCTTATTATAGTGCAGTGACAAAGGATACAGGGTCCAAAGTGATCTGCACGCAGTGACAGCGCGTATACACTAGTGCTGAAACTACGGTTCAAGAAACGCAGCGCCGACAACCCCCCTCCCCCTCTTCGTCTGAGAGGAGGCCCAGTTTTGAAACACATACATGTCCAGGAGGAAAAAAATTTTTGGTCATGGATCTCGAGGAGGCTGAAACCAGCGGCAGTTTTTGATCTACCTACTGACCAACAGTTGGAGTTAGACAACCACTGGAGTTCAATGGTTATGAGCTGTTGCTTTGTTTTTAGAAGCTGGTAAGCTGAGGGTGGGGATTATTCGATAAGCCTGAGGTCCGCCGTTGAAAGCCGCTGCTAAGCAATGGCTAATGAAGACTGTAAGAGACTGAGACGAACTATTGTGTCCGCTAGTGAAATGTAAAGTGTGTACAGCAGTGAGAACATAAGCTTTATTTATAATTGTAAGATTTCAACAAAACCAACTGCTGATCCAAACCCAGCCTATTTTCTCTAAAATCGTGACAATATCAATATTCATGTTCAGACCACTCATAGATTCGTCCTAGTTTCTTGTCCTACGGATGTATGTACAGTACTATATTGAGCATAGCGGTACAGTAGTTAGCATTTCATATTCGCGGGTTCTGAACTCGTGCTGTACACCGGCATGTTTATCTTCTGTGCTTCATTTTCGGCATGTACGGATGATTACTGCAAACGTAACTCAATAGAGATGATGGCCGCTTCCTTCCACAGGGTTTCCAACTGATCACTCCCCCACGCTTTATAGTCTTTTTACTTAGGAAGGCGTTTTAAATCATATTCCGAGCATTTGTCTGGAGGGACTGAGGAAAGCTGTGTCTAACATAGGCCGCCTTCAGAGCAAGATTGCTGTTGGCCTTGTATAATTCTGTATTGACAGTTCCTGCTTTATGTGCTGAGTAGATTGAAGGACTTAACTGAACATAGGCACATACTCCTTCCAGGGTTTCATTTTAACTTTAGCCAGAATATAATTTTGAATGACGACATTTTTTTTTTTTTAAGAAATGTATTGGTAAGTAGTTGAACCTGTGGTGCACCTCCCCTATCACACATGAGTATGAAAAGATAAATCTACCCACATAACAGGCCGTGGAGATCTATACCGTTGAGAGACGTCGAGGTTCCCACATTTCATAGAGAGTCGGTTCACAGATGGCGGTGAGGTTGTCAGGGTTACGCGCCGCCTGCCCATTATCCACAGGAAGGTTCCTGCTATTAATTTCTGTTAGAGGCCGAGTCGATCCCAGGGTCATAGTGCGGCTGGAAGGATTAGGTAAATTGAAAAATCCAGTGACTTCACCGAGAATCGAACCAGCCACCTTCCGACATGAAGCACAGTGCCTCAGCAAACTACGCTACCGTGTGCCGCCCCCCCCCCCTTCCGTCTCACAAAGAAGGACAAATTTCTGTTGGTTAAAACCAGTTAGATCTAAATATGTTTCTGTTTCACCCCAGATACTCGTAAATTTCCTAATTGGATGATGCGTCTATTGAAACTAGTGAATTTGCCGCTGATTGACCTAAACCACATACTAAACAGTGTGTGATCCTGTTATAGGGGTGCTGATCCCTCAGGACCTGCACAAAGTTGTCCGGCTGGAGTCCAGTGCCCGTTTCGTATTGCTGGTAGAAAAAGATGCTGCATTCCAGAAGCTGCTGGACGAGGGGGTACTGGAAAGACTGGGACCCTGCCTTCTGATCACCGTGAGTACTAAAGCTTTCCAAGCTGTCTATTTTATGTAAGATTTGGGGTCTTCACAGCGGTGAATATGAAGACTGCCGTCTTCTGAGATGTGGCACCGTGTAGATCTCGTGTGAACCGACGTTTCGGAGGAACGTATCGCCTCTATCTTCGGGGTAGAAAAATCTGCGGGCGAGGAACCACCGTGAGCAAGTGGCTACCATGAAGATGGAGGTGATACTTTCCTCCGAAATGTCGGTTCACACAAGATCTACACGGCGCCACTTCCCAGAAGACGTCATTCTTCACTTTCTATTTCAATTATTATTCCGGTATTACATTTTCATGAAAACATGTGGCGTCGCAATAATTGTTATCAGGCCATGATGGCTCATGATCAGCTGAACTAGTGAGGATAGAACTAATAAAATATCCCCGGTTCAATGTCAGTATTGAAATAAAGAGAAAAAAATTGTGTTCCTGTTTAAATGTTTACATTTTATCTTATATAATAATTTTTTAGCAAATTTAAGATCAATGTATGTCGCCGAGAACATTTTAACAAAGGGTTGAGTCCCACTATGAGCTACGGCTGAACACCTTGCTTCTCTTGGTTGAAGTATAATGCCTCTTTATTTCTGTGCAAAGTTAGAACCCCTCTAGGCCAATCTCTACCCCTAACCGCCCATCAGTCTGCCGTATAAACGGACGAACAGACCGATAGATTATGCTATAGTTGCTACAGCAGGGACACTTAGGAGCCTAGAAACTCGCTGTTTGTAACGCTTACCAGACAGAGCACACTACATTCCTTGAGCCATTATTTTAGGTCTTTTAATGATAAAGAAGAAACACGTCCTTTTCTCTGAGTGGAGCCTGACAATATTCAGACATGTATGGGAGGCCTGAATACATACGAAATTCTTCGAGGGCCCACACCCACAGGGTCCGTACCAAAAGAACAGACTTACGAAGAGAAGGCGCGACATCCGTCGATGGATGGCCATAAGAAAGTGAAATGAACTGAAGCGTGGCCCTCCGTGAATTTCTTACAACCCAAGCAACTCTTCCGCGGATTATGAAAAATGATTTTATACTATAAGAATGGAAGGGAAATAGTAACGATTAGTTTTTGCAGTCTCACGTGCCACACTATATTCTAGAAGATGCGTTAATAGTTATTCACTTAGAAGTTTAAAAAGTCCATCACTGCATGTTTCCACCAATGTGGTCATCATCAGGTGTTAAAAATTTGGGCGAGGAAACTGCTTTCTGTTGTTGATTATGCTAATATACAAGTTCCCTCGACGCGCATGTGTGTTTGAGTTGGTGGGTTGTGTTCTCTTTTGTTGTGTGTTGTGATTAGTGTCGATATTAAGTGAAAAGTGCAAGAGGATGCTACTATATAATATTGTGACGTGTTGCGCTATGCAGGACAGCCCTCCCCCCGCCAGCGGTGACGTAACACCATCGGAGCGCTGTCGTTACTAGGGTAGCAGGCAAGTCAACACTCCTTCCTTTACCCCGTCAGTGGTGACGTGGCCAAGGGATGTCGCGGTTGCTATGCAGCCGTAAACAACTCCCGACAGCGTTGCCAGTAACAGCTGTAAACACGGCGACTAGGCAAGAAGGAAGCGAGGCGTGTTCCCGTTATCCGGCTGAGGNTGTAACATGACCTGACCTGACCTGACCTGACGAAGACAGTTCTTACGAGTTAGCCAGCAGTTAGTTACGAGTTACGAGTTAGCCAGCAACCAGTCAGTTGTATTCTGGCATTTGCAGTCTAGTATTTCTGATACTGCCGATGGCAGTAATGTTGAGCTCGTAAATTGTGTGAATGTATGAGCGAGTGTGGAATAAAATTCGCTGACTTCTGTTCAACTTGTGGCTGTGGGTGTTCCTGATTATTGAAACAACCTCTGTCTTTAACTGATCCTTTTTGATAGGAGCATCGTTCAGGCCAGCTTCTATTGCCCATTGTGCCTCTGCATTTGAGTTCTCTTCCAAGTCAGCCAAAATGTTACAATTCGGCCTTAGTCTTAAATGTGGGTTTTCTCGCAGCCTGTAACTTGTTAGCTAATTCTTCTGTTTTACTATATACTCGTATGTTAGCTTCTCGTAGAGTTTATCCTCTAGTTTGCGCATTTTATCAGCCGCTTCTGTAGGCTGTAAACCGTTAACATTATAATCACTAATGTCCACACTAGCATGTGTTGCTGTACTTACAGTCTTCACAGAGTTCATAACCACCTGACTGTCTTCTGAAAAATGATCAATTTTGAATTGTAGCCGTTCTATCTGGCCCTTTTGTTCTGCTACCATTTATTTGAGTTTCTTCACCTTCTCATCAGCTTCTGTCAAACGATCGGCAGAGATTTTCAGTGCTTCTGACTACACCTCCAAATCCTGGGTTACTATTAAATTAGTCTCCTTTAGACGTAACACTTTATCAAACAACGTGTTCAATGTTGTGATCGCATCTGCTAACTTTACCCCCAACCCAGCTACAATGTTCTCGTCACTGGTCACCATCATTTCCTATTTTGCGTTTATTACGGATGAGAACTCTCCTGGTCTGTGATGTACTGACCCCTCAGCTGGTCAAAGATATCCTTAATAAACTGCTACAAGGATGTCTGCTTGTTATGTCCTAACTGTCCGTTATTTATAGCGGTTTTTCACAGTTGAGATTTTTCTGCTTCCGTGCTACCGGCCTAGTTAGCTGGAGACTCACTCACATTTCCTCAATTTGCACTACTCCATTCAGTAACGTGTGTTCAACTGAAGCTGATAACAATTCTCGGAAATAGCGGTTGCCAGTCTCCGTGGTGTGCTCTCGCCCTGTAGCAAAGAGCAGAATTCGACTCAGCTGCCAGTTACAGTGAAAGCACTGTCACTGTCCTCGCAACCTCACTTCCAAGCCGTTTAAGTGGAATATTTTACTCCATACAGGGAAAGGGGTTTCCCGATGTGGCCACCCGTCTTCTGGTTCGACTGCTATGGAAGTCCCTGGGAGTGCCTGTGTTGGCCCTGGTAGATGCTGACCCTCACGGCATTGAGATCATGTGCGTCTACCGCTTCGGGTCGCTGGTGAGTAGTACTGAACCATAAACATCACTCGAGATGTGTTCCTGTTGTGTCACCGGAAATGCGTAATTTTGAAGATAACAACAACAAAGAACCTTAGCATTACGGTAATGAATCACTGAGGACCAGGTTCGATCCAAGGTCAGGCCATGTGGAGTTTATGATGTACAAACTAACACTTGGGGTAGGTTTCTTTCCCGGTATTTCGGTTTCCCTTGCGAATTCTCATTGCACCAATTGCTCCATATCCATTAATCACACTGACATCTGTTCTGCATAGTCTCGACTGTGAGATCATGGTAACATACTATAGAAACACTGAAAAATACTGAATCATGTAATTCAAACATATACTATTGTTAGAATCAGAAGACAGATCTCATGCAATGGAGGAAATTTCTGCTAAACCCAATCGCATTGGACAGCAAGTAGAATAATTAATAATTTGATTTGCAAAAATAATGAAATCCATCTTGTATGTTGTTTCTTGAAATGTGCATAGTTGCCCAGCTAGCAGAGAATTGTTCTGCTCTAAGAGAAACTGAACTTCACTACTGAAGTCCCCTGAACGGCGCCATGAACAGCGTGAATTCAATTGTCATTTTTATACCTCTTTCTCAAGCTGTCTTTAATGTTTCTCTCCTCTCTAGCAAATACCTAGGGATTACATGTCGTGTATTCCCTTGAGACTTTTCGACTACAATTTTGTATACACTTCTCAATAAGTGGCAAAGAATTCCCGACAACCTCCATTATTACTTTTATTGATATCTCTACTTTTGCTTATCATTATTGCCAGCATTTACGCTACTATAATAATGCTGTTACTACAGTAACTGATTAAGGTAATCATGAAGCTAATAATATAATCCCATTCCTCTGTTCAATATAGCGTATATTATTTTTTTATTGCTAGTGGGGTGAGACTAAGTCCCTTGTACTGCGGTCACTTCTGGCCTATTGTACCAGCCCCAGATGATAGGTGAGGGTGATTGTGGAGCAATTGGTGGAATGAAGATTGGCATGGGAAACCCAAGTACTCGCAGAACACCTGCCCCAGTGCCACTTTGTCCACCACAAATCCCACTTTACCAGCCCAGGGATCGAACCCGGGCCGCCGCGATGGGAAGGCAGCGACTAATCGTTTGAGCTTATAGAGGGTATAAGGGAAGAAGCAGAGTAATGTACAGTCACGCAATTTTAGTCTCAACTGCTGAATAGGTCGAAAGTTATGCGAGTAGAATTTGGGTGAGAAAAGTGGTGAGCATTTGCGTTGAGCAGGTCTGGGTAAATAAGGAAGTCAGTGTGGAACTATTGAAGGTGCACCAATCAAAGCCATTCTCACCAAATTATGGAAGGTCACAATAAACCCAGAAGGATGGGAGTCACAATTGAAATTCAATTGTTCGAAAAGATTTTGTTTTGTTTCTTTCAGAATATGAGTTACCAATCTGATGATCTGGCAGTTCCTGCCATTCGGTGGCTTGGTGTGCACCCGACTGACATCTCGCGGCTGGGAATGAAAGCTCAGCCTTTCAGTGCAGCAGATTTCAAGAAACTACGGAAGTTGTTGTCACGATCGTATATCACAAGCCATGAAGCACTCCGGGACCAGGTACTGCTCCTTCAGAAATTCACATCCTGCGCATGACAAGACGATCTTAGATACTGTAGTATTCCTTATCGAGAGACAAGTTTGGAAAGCAGTTTTAAATTGAAGAAAGCAGTCTTTTGGGATTTGGCACCGTGTATATGTGGTGTTAACCGACGTTTCGGAGGAATGTATCGCCTCCATCTTCAGGGTAGAAGAAACCGGTAAAAACCGGTTCGCACGGTCTCTTCGCTAGCAGATTTCTTATATTTTTTCTTCTACCCTGAAGATGGAGGCGATACATTCCTCCGAAATGTCGGTTAACACATATACACGGTGCCAAATCCCAAAAACTGCTTTCTTCATAGTCACCTCCGTGAAAGCCTCAAATCTTACACAGTTTTAAATTACTGACGGTTTTTCTTATTACATAGCACTCTTTTATTATTGATTTATTATATTCCAAAGAATCTCAGGTACAGGATTAATATATACAATTTTCCAAACAGGTATAAACACATATTTTAATTTGTTGTGTGAATGTGAGACTTGTTTTCTGACTTCGATGATAGAATTGACATAGACCATGTTTGAGAATAAAGGAAAGAAGGGAATATTTAGATCCGAGAAAGAGGAAGTAACAGAGAAATTTAGAAAACTGCACAAAGAAGAGCTTCACAGTTTGTATGTCTGCCTAATTTTTGTAAGGGGCGATTTCAAGGGGATGTAAAGGGCATTACACCCAGAAGAAGAAAATGAAATAGACTATGCATACACAGCATTGTTAGGAAGAACTCAGGATTGAAATCCGATCTGGACATGTTATATCAGCTAAAGAGCTGACAGATTCTCAAGGAAAGCTCGTAACGGTGAATGAGTGAATCTGCCATTCAGTCAGTAAATCACTGAACAAATCAGCCAGTCAGCAAAGAGCGGTCAGTTATGCAGTCAGTCTGGCATGTAGCCCAGTATCAGCCCGTCATATGACTAGTCAGACAGAAGTCACTTGGGTAAGTAGGTAGACTTTTGAACAGTTCTTACACGAGTGATTTAGAAAATAAGGTGCACGGATGGCTTCCTTAGAATTTTAAATTAAGAGGAATACAATTATGAAATAATATCCATAAATTCTTTAGCATAACTGAAATAACAATTTAGGGAATAGCAAGACTCGTAGAGATTTTCAGGATTTATTGAAAAGCCGGATGCCATGGAAGGAAGGAAGACGGTTATTTTCGTCGTATGAAATCAGGTTATAAACCATGATTTCTTTGGAAATTTTTAGGTGAAGGCGCTGCTTTCCGGAGGAAGGAAGGCTGAAATAGAAGGGGTGGCCAGATTTTCCTCTTCCTATCTCACCGACGCTTACATTCCTAACAAGATTTGCTGTCGAGAAGTGTTGTAACCTACAGAAGTGAAGACATATTTTACAGTTTAAATAGCTTAATGTCATCTGATTAGGATTTAGAGATATAATATTTCTCTTCATTGGAAACGTCCTGTAGTACGTGTTAGGGAGCTGTATTATCAATTATTGAGCATTTCTGAAAGGAGATATCATGTCCGATAGATGAAGAATAACGAAACCTGGCCCCTTTGGCGGTGCATCCAAGTGTTTCTGCCAGCTCGCAAGCAGAAAGCTACAATTTACGTATGTACACGTATTGCGCTCCTTCGGTACTCACAAGTTAGTATAAATAACAGAGTGGGACGCCGCATTAATGTTGTTTGATTGATAAAACTAACAAGATTTTATCGAAAGAACGCCTCTTTACCATCAAACACAATAATTATTTTTATGATTTCCTATGCCTCTGTATTATCAAATACGACTTCAGAATGCTTTATTGTCGCCACGTTCGTGCCTTCTTACCCACGAAAAAAATTATATACACGTTCAACTACATTCAAGATCTGGCTTCTTACTGAAATTCACACTCCTAGTTGGAGTGGTTCCAAATAAAATATGAATATCACGTGACCTGTGTGCTGTATTTTACATACTACAAAACCCAACCTTAAATGTTGTTGCATACTTTCTAGGCACCTTATACCATACAAAACTTTCAGGACTGCCTTAATTGACGCTGGCTTCTCGTATACTTCGTAAATTCGAAAGCCACCTTGTTGTTACTTCTGTAAAAGGGGATTAAGAAACAAGATTTTCTCGAGGGCTGTAACAATAGGATGTCCATAAATTCTTTCACGGAGATCCTTTAATTTATTCAGATTTATTGGAGTGGATAGACACACGACACAGGGACATGACGTACAATTCCTTAAAGGAGAAAGTAGACAAAATGTACTTGTATCAACAGAACTTCCGTTTCAAATTGTTCTCTTTTCATTAATACTGAATAGATTAGTTGTTTAATAAGGTTTAATGAAGGGGGCATTTCATTGTTTACTTTAATTGTGTTCAATAGATATTAACGCCTTCTTATGTGCCCATTCTATGAAAATAATCGCTCGATAATCTTACAGAACTTTATTTTGTCGTGCAGAAATGTTAATTTACAGGACAGAGTTGTGTGACATATTTGTAAACGTTGAATAAAAGTAACAATGTTAAAGTGGTGTTTTTAATATTGTGATTTAATTTGCTGAATTTGTCATTATATCTTATTACTTTAGCATCTAAATATATCGCTTAGGAATTTTATATCAGAAATGTCGATACAATGGACAAGGGAAACGAAAGTTTTATTTTAAAGTTTCCTTCAATGTTATCGGTATGTTTGTCAGTCATGAGTCCAGAATCCAATCGAATGGCACAGAAATAATTCGGCAATGAATAACTCAATTCAGCGGTCGAAGCTCGGACCTGGGCCCCTTCATCTTGCAGATCAGCTGACCACGCGCCTTCTGCTCTGACTGTATACATGTTGAACGTATCTTCAAGAAAAAATATTGCCTTCTGTGTTAAGTGATGTGCCGAAAATGCTACAATTTCTCCCAGTGATTTCAACGTCAGTTATTCCTGGCCTCAGGAATTCTCACACTCCTACATTAGGACGAAATCCCCAAGTTTTGGGGGCTTCTTTAAATCACTATCCAAATGATAGATATTAGACATACAATTTCGCTTCTTGATCTCTGCTCGAATACGTCTTCATTTTCTGGCACTCTGAAGGGTTCCTCCTGCAGGTCTGGGAGGGGAACAACAAACGCCTTGCATACCGTTTCATGAGATCTAATATTTTTCGCATTCTCCAAATTGACACTACAAATTATAGTATTAAATTTCATCGTGGTAGTGAGATCAGCTATGTTGTTTCTCTGTAAACTATTGAGCAAAATGTGAGCTATTGTTTCATTGTTAAGTTTCCTGCGTGTTATCAACCAGATAACAGGCCTGCCAACGCTAACATACACTAGTACAGGCGTCGAAAAATTCTTCCCTTGTAAAGGAAACATTAGGCTTCATTTTTTTTTCGAATTGCGATTCTGTATTTCGCAAATTACTTCAGTTCTACAACCAACTTTCATTTCTCCCTCTCCTTTGTCACAGTGTTCTGGTACTTCCATTCATGTACATTAAAATCTGTCTGTCTTCTTTCAAGATAGTTGCCTCTTTGTTTTTAATACGGATGTTCTTATTACCACAGCTTTCATTGCTTTTGGTACAGAAAGATTCCGTTTTCTCATTTCGTTATGAGAACTTGTAAACCTGATTCTTTGCACTGTCGCCATCTTGTTGTTAGTTTTATAGCACAGATGAAGTAGAGGGAACAACCATTGTAGAGATCATATGAAACTGTCACGGAGATGCACGACAGTCGCCATCGGAACAGGATATCCCCGAAAAGCCAATTATTTGGGTCTCTATAATTAATTAATTCGCTTAGTGGGAGTGGAGTCCAACTGGATCCACTCGGCTCGGAGTCCACTGATTGGCCTATTGTAGCCTGCCCCGGGTTATTAAGATGATGGAGAATTTGGTGGAATGAAAATTGGCAAGGGAAACCGAAGTATTTGGAGAAAACCCGCCCCAGCACCATGTTGTCCACCATAAATCCCACTTGACCAGACCCGGGATCGAACCCGGGCCACCGCGGTGGGAAAGCCAGCGACTAACCTCTTGAGGTATGGCGCGGCCAGGGCTACTATAAGCAACGCAGTTGCAGCCTCTATGCGTTGCACCTGTGTCTTTAGCCTTCATTGTCATTATCTAGAACCAGAATTCTTCCAGTCTTGTTTTCAGCAACAACTGTTAGTTGATCCTCACCAAACCGCAAGGTGTCACGTCCCGGAAATTGCTATAGTGACGGCCGTGAGAACCTCAAATTTCACATTATCCGATTCTTCTGAAATGTATTTCATTTGGTCCTTGAAACATTAGCCACATTTGTTTAAGTAGATGCCAAAGGATTCTGACGATGGTGTATAACACACAGAGTTACTGGGTTTTCGACCTTTTCCATCGTCCGGCATTCTAGAAAATAGAAAAGACGATTTTTCGGAGACTGGATCTGTTTCCGCTTTCAGGTGAAGGAGGAAGACACCTAATCAGTTGGGCCCCTTAGAAAGCGCTAATCTCAATCACTGATTTCCGTTGTCCGGTAGTGTAGGAAATAGAAAACAAGACGTTTCGGAAATTTGATCTGTTTCCGTCCTCAGGTGACGTGGGGAGACACCTACTGAGTTGGGTCTCTCAGAAAGAGCTAATCTCAAGTACTGATATTCAACATATATCTTGTCTGCACTTGAAACGTAATGTTGTAATTGCAAAGCGAGCTATAAATTGCAGACCATCATAAACGAAGCCGCAGCCCATTCGTTCAGTAACAGTGTCCTAACGTAACTACCTCCGCGGAGGAACGTCCTTCCTGCGAAACCGAGAGTTGCTCAGCCACTCAAGGAGTTCCTTGCATTTTATCCAATCCGCAGATTCAGTATTGGGTTTACATGAGCCTGTTCCTGTGTTGAGGCAGATGAAACCATCCCATATCTCCCAATACTTTTCCTCTAAGATCTAGTTTAATGTCTGAAGAATGCCGTCTTCTGGGATGTGGCGCCTTGTAGATCTTGTATCAACGGACGTTTCGGAGGAACGTATTGCCGTCTGTAGCCACCTCCTCAAGCTGGTTCCTCACTTGCTCTACTCTGAAGTTGTGGGCGATACGTTCCTCCGAAACGTCGGTTTACACACGACAAGGCGGCATTCTTCATAGTCATAGCTGTGAAAATCTCAGATCTTACATAGTTTAATATTTGTTTTCATCTACGACGAAGTCTTTCTAGTGATATCTTTCCTTCAGGGTTTCCTGCAAAAATCCTCTATGCACTACTTTTCGCCCCATTCGTGCTACATGCACTACAATATCACCACCCTTTATTCTATGAATCTAATTATACTTGACAGATAGTTAAATTATGAAACTGCTCAATATGTAATTTTCTCCAGTCCCTATTATTTCTTCCCTCTTCGGTCCAGATACATTGCTCAGCACCCTGTCCTCAAACATGCTCAGTCTATGTTCTTTCTTTAGCAACAGAGACCATATGCACACCATAAGAAAGCTGAAGGCACAAACATAGACTTTATATTTTAATCTTTACGTTTTTAGAGAGACGACAAGACAAAAGGTTCTGTACCGAATGATAGCAAGGTTTACAGAAATTTAATTTGATCCCATAATGATAAAGTGCTAAAGAATATACTTGAATCTAAGAGGGGTAAACTTGCAAGGGAACAAGTAATTTGCACAACCGGGACATTCGTAGCATATAGTACTCGTATTGTTCCAGTGATTTTAAATCAACCGTGGTAAAATGACTAGATGACGTAAGAGGCATTTTGTAGGCCACAAATTGGTGGGAGACACTTTCGGAGACAAGGTACGAGAGTCTTGTTATTATTATTATTATTATTATTATTATTAGTAGTAGTAGTAGTAGTAGTATGGCTCTACTTTCAGTTTCTCAATCCTATACACAGTCGGTAGGACTCCTTGGACTGGGGATCAGCCCATCGCAAGGCCTTTACCTACACACAGAACAACAGAAACACAGAATAAACGCACACAGACATCGGTGCCTTGAACGGGATTCGAACCTACAATTCTAGCGTTCAATCGAGCGAAGACAGTTCATGCCTTAGACCACGTGGCCACTGTGCTCGGCAAGGTAGCAGATAGAACTATCAAATTTAATATATCATGGGGACACACAATTAAAAGATATTACTGACTCTAAACATCGTCTGAGTTGCATAAAATCAGTAGGTCCTGTGGAACAGACATACGTGTTGAATTATTTTGGAATTCCTGTCTCAATAAATTAAATCGAAAACATTTCTATTAATTAATTAGTGACTCTTATTATGACCATGTTTGTTTTTTTTTCAGAATTATGAAGTTCATTACTGGAGGGACATAAGGTGAATTCACTTTCTTATTAATCAAAATAATTTCCATTTAAGGGGTTTGAGGCTTCTACGGCGATGAATGTTACCATTGTGATATTCCAATTTTACACCTATAGTCTGGTACGTGGGTACTAACGTTTCGGAGGAATATATTGCCTCCATTGTCAGGGCATCTACCTACCATTCTACATTGCTTCATCAGACGGATGATCGCAATAATAAAATTAATATTAGTGTGTCCTATCGGAAATGTATTGAGCTATGAGGAATAAACATTATGCCATGGGCTTGTGTAAACGATGCTGAGGTAAAACAACACTCGTTCTAGACTTCTTCATTGGGAGGTGAAACTTCTTAGCTCCTCGCTTCTACCGGTTTATTTCAAGTACAATTCAGACAGGTTATCTGGGTATCAGGACAGTTCTCGATATCAGGGCTATAAGAACGTTCCAGTGATATTGCCGGGAATCGAATCCAGGTCGACCAGTCTCTAGAAAATATATTTATTGACGTACAACGCTTCCCATATGCAAGATTTTATTTAAAAAGAAATTTCATGCTTTTTCAACTGATTACTAACCTGTGGACCCGAAATTTGCTGTGCCTGATATATGGATAAGTAGGCAAGTAATTTCATTTATGATTCATGATTTTGAATCCAGAGCGTAAGCATTGGGAGGCACGCGGTATCATAGTTGCTTGAGGTATTGTGTTACAAGCAGGAAGATCGTGGGTTCGATTCCCGACGAGATCGTCGGATTTTTCAATTGAACTAATAATTCCAGTCGCACTGTTGCCCTGGGGTCGACTCAGCATCTAACAGAAATGATTATCAGGAATCTTCAGGGGGTTAAAGGATGGCCAGCGCGAATAGCTGACAACCTCACCGTCATCTGTTGGCCGATTGTGTAGAAAATGTGGAAACCTCGACGCCTAACAACCTTAAGGGGGCCTTCAAGGTCTGTTACAGGGATAGCTTTACCTTTTTCTTGAGTAAGCATAGCATAGAGGTCACTGGGTATGAGGCTAATTTAGCAAGGAAGAAAATTCCCAGGTAGGAAATGAATCCAAAATGCTGTAACAGTTTATTGAAAACATATTTTTGGCATAATAATATTAATTTATATAAAACGGAACAAGTAATTCTAC